ACACACACACACACACACAGGAGCATGCCCACACACAGACACACATTAGTAAAAATAAAATAAATATTTTATAAGAAATTAAAATACAGCCAGGCAGTAGTGGCGCACGCCTTTAATCCCAGCATTTGGGAGGGAGAGCCAGGTGGATCTCTGTGAGTTTGAGGCCACCCTGGTCTACAGAGTGAGTTCCAGGAAAGGCGCCAAAGCTACACAGAGAAACCCTGTCTCAAAAGACAAAAACAAAAAAAAAGTTAAAATGCATTTGGGGTGTGTGTGTGTGTGTGTGTGTGTGTGTGTGTGTGTGTGAATTTGACATGAACTAGGGTCATCTGGGGAGAGGGACCCTTAACTAAGAAAATGTCTCTGTCATGCTGGCCTGTAGTCTGTGAGGGTATTTTATTGGTTGGTGATTGATGTGGAAGGGCCCATCCCACTATGAGTGGTAGCATCCTGAACAGGTGGTCCCGGGAAGTCTAAGAAAGGTGGGTGAACATGAGCCTGGAGAGCAAGCTAGCAAGCAGTGCTCCTGCCTCCGAGGTCCTGCCCTGACTTCCCTCAGTGATGGCGTGTAACCTGAGAATTCTAAGACAGAGTAAACTCTTTCCTCCCAGGTCGCTCTTAGTCATGGGGTTTGATCATAGCAATAAAAGCAAACTAAGACATACAACACAGCTACTATTTCCCTCTTTCGTCATGTTTGGTAAAGCCTCAAGACACAGTCTCAAAAACAAAACAGAGATTCTCACGCCCAAGCTTCTCTTGTGCTGTGGTGTTCCAGTTCGGTATCATCAGTGACAGTTAAAGAGGATGCTCTTTCTGGAAATGATCAAAATAGAGGGAAGAACAGAAAAGGGTCTTAGCTGCCCTGGCCATGTACTTTGTTTGGTTTGGATCAGAGAGGCCCCCAACGGCTCACATGTTGAGGGAGTGGCTGCAGTTGATAGGCATTTGAAAAGACGTTGGATCATCAGAACTCTGACCTAGTCAATAGATTAATCCATTGATAAATTCAAGGCTGAATGTACTATTAGGAGGAGCCTGGCTGGAGGAAGTCGGACACTGGGGCAATGCCCTTGAAGGGTGTTTCTCACCCTCCGCCTCTTGCTGTCTCTCTGTTTCCCAGGCACTGTAAAGTCAGCAGCTTTTTCCAGCTGCTCACTCCCCATCATGATGCTCTGCCTACCACAGGCCCAAAGGACAGGGCCAGGTGGCCACGGACAGAAACCTCTGTCATTGTCATCCAAGCACACCTTTCCTCCTTTTAACTGATTTTCTCAAGGAATTTATCATGGCAACACAAAACTGACTAACCTACACATGTTCTCACTGTGCTGTGAGTATGTGATGATGAGTGACAGAAGCCATCAGGGACCAGTGAGCATCAAAAGCTGACATATTGGGAGAAGGGAGGACAGAGCATCTCCGGTCCTTAAAATTATGTTTTGAGTCACTCAATAACTTTAGGTCTGCCTATTATCAGAGGCAGCTTACAGTATGAGATAGTCTTAATTCTTTAAGCTGCTACTAGTTAGTAAGTCTTGTATTTGTGGCCAAAAACAAAACAAAACAAAACAAAAAAAAACCCACTTGCATGCTTCTCTTCTGAGGTCACCTAGCCAGTGTGCCACCTTCCTCTTCTAGTAACAGCATTGTGGCAAGGCCTTGAAGAGTCAACACACACACATTGCATTCAAAAGTTCAAATAGGGTTGACTGCAGTCTTCAAGTCTGCAGAGGCCGTCTGACCAGGTTTGGCCCATCAGAGTGTTCCTCTTAACCACACTACAATGGGCAGCCCAGTGAGGCTCATTCTGGGACTTTGGGCACAAGTTGTGAAAGGAGGTGTTCCATTCACAAGATTGTTGATTCAGAAGCAAAGCCAACACACGATCTCAGAGCTAAGAAACAAGAAGGCTCATTTCTGAAGATATCCTCAAGGCTTTGGGACCTTCCTCTGCCTGGGCCACCTTTGGACTTCCCTTTCAGTCTCCCAAACAAATTTCTATTTCCATGGGCCAGTTATTGTCTGCAGGATTTCTAACTGATCCAGGCCAAAGTCCAACCGTACAAATGGGAGGAAGGGCCTCAGCTGAGATACAGCAGGGCTGGCAAAGACAGCATTCCTGCCGGGCAGCGGCTGGTCTCTGGCCCTCTCCTGCATAACAGACGCAAAGGCATGCTCGGGTACAGGTGCTCAAGCGGGTGAGTGAAGGGGTCAGGTTCAAACACAGGTTTAATAGGCTTAAATGGTTAATCTTGACTGATGAGATTTGGAATCACTAGGGAAACAAATCTCTGGGTTTGTCTGTCAGTGGTTATCTTAGGTTAATTGAGGTGGGAAGACCCACCCTGAATGTTGGCATTATTCCATGGGCAGGGTTTCTGGGCTGAGTAAAACAATAGAGAAGGAGCTGAAACATAAAATCCGTTTCTCCCTGCTCCCTGGCTGCAGGTGCAATGTGAGCAGCTGCCTCTGGCTCCTGCCACCTTAATGCCTCCACCGTGATGGACTGCAGGTGCTGTGGGCCACAATAAACTCTTCCTTCCTTAAGTAACTGTTGCCAGGTTTTTGGTTTTTTTAACAAGACAACTAATGCAGAGTCTGAAATTCAAAGTACTTTAACAAAAATCATGCTAATGTTGCTGTCCCTTCTGTTGCCTCTTAAGAAGCAATGCAGGCCGGGGGATGGTGGCGCACGCCTTTAATCCCGGCACTCGGGAGGCAGAAGCAGGCAGATCTCTGTGAGTTTGAGGCCAGCCTGGGCTACCAAGTGAGTCCCAGGAAAGGCACAAAGCTACACAGAGAAACCCTGTCTAAAAAAACAAAAACAAAAACAAACAAAAAAAAGAAGCAATGCAGGCCTGTAATCCAACACTAAGGATGTTGAAGCAGGAGGACTGAGAGTTTGAAGCCAATTTGGGCTACCAAGAGAAACCTATTCTCAAAGCATTAAATAAAGTAAGTAAGTAGGTGAGGGGGTCTGGGTAGGTAGGTAAAGGTGCTGAATGAGCAAAGAAGGGACCCAATCACTAGCACCACCGTAAGGGGAGAAAGGCCAGGTGCATCAGGTGTGCCCAGAACCCCAGCATTTATGAGGCCAGAGACAGGAGAATCACCAAGGTTTGCCGACTGCCAGTCTAGCCACAGACACAGTGAGAAACCCTGTCTCAAGAGAGTACACAGAAAGTCCTCATGGTGTCTTCCTGTCCTGTACTCATGTGTTTGTATAACACACACACACACACACACACACACACACACACACACTAAATAAGTAAATAAAATGGAGTCCACGGTGTTTTGTCAATGTCCTTTGGGTAGACCTTAGGAGAGCACTGAGCTTCCTTCTGTTTGGGAGTCAAGTTCAGAATTGAAGTTATTCTCCTTAGGGGTCAGAAAGAGTCCACAGGGTGTCTACACACCACCACTGCCCCGGCTCTCCATGCCTCACTCTCCAGGATTCCTGCACACACTGTGTGGGGTTCAGACTTCTAAGCAAAGAAGAAGGCTTTCTCTGGAACTCCCATCTCCTCTTCAGGATATGCAAATAGGTTCTTCTAGATGATTCCAGAACAGCCACAGCTTCTCTCTGCAGCCCCAGGGGAATACCTGAGACGGTTACAGTGCCCTTCCAGTTTTCTTTGGTAAACCCCTCCCAAGTGATGCTCTTTTGTTTTTGTTTTTGTTGTTTTTCATTTACAGGACAAGAAATTTTCTTTAAAATTCAAATACATACATTTTTAAGTGGCTTTGCCACAGAAAAGAATTTTATAATGAGTCAGTTTAAAGCAGAATTGGAGTTCATTGGGAAGAGACTTTTTTTTAAGATTTATTTACTTTATCTGTATTTGTGAGAGTCTGCCTGTTTATATCCGCATCACATGCATGCCATGTACCCATGGAGGCTGCCAAAGAATGTGGGATCCTCTGGAACTAGAGTTACACAGTGGTTGTGAGCCACGGTGTGGGTGTTAGGAACTGAACCCAGAATCTCTACAAGAGCAGCAAGTGCTCTTAACCTCTAAGCCATTGTTCCAGCCCCTTTGGGAGAGACTTATTTTTTTTAAACATAGGTGTAAGCAATAGGTAGGAGGGTGTATCCGAGTACTGAGGAGTCATTCAAGGTAAAGATAAAACACATCCAGATGTGGGTGTGGGCTTCTCAAGAAAGTCATGCTTAAGTGTCTTTATCGCAGCCATTTTGGTGGTTTGAAAGTTACATCTTCAAAGATTTATAAGGCATTTAAATGAGATCATAGGGTGGCTCCCAAGGTACATGGGATAGGGTTACAACTGAGCAGGTAAAACCTTAAGAACCAGGAGTTACACAGGAAGTTGGCGTGTATTTATCAAAGGCAAAGGTTTACAGTCTCTCTGGGAAAGAGTTAGACGGTGATGGAAGGTCACATAGTCTCGGGCCTGAAGCATGTTCTATTGCTATTTTAACTTTTTTCCTTTATATATATTTGTTTGTGACCCCTTGTCTGCATGCTCACGACATATGTGCAGTACCTGTGAAGGCCAAAAGAGGCATTAGATTCCCTGAAACTTGAGTAACAAACTGTTCTGAGCCACCCAGTGTGGGTGCCTGGAACTGAACCTGGGTTCTCTGAAAGAGCAGTGAGCTAGTGGATCCTAGCCCCTACTTTAACATTATTATCTGAAATATCTCTATATAAAAGCAGTAGTCTCTGAGTAGGAAATTTTCACAGTTCTCTCTTTCTGTTTCTCTGTGTGTGTGTTTCTCTCTCTCTCTCTCTCTCTCTCTCTCTCTCTCTCTCTCTCTCTCTCTCTCTCTCTCGTGTGTGTGTGTTGGAATTCTTGACTTGGTTTGTGTGAGAGCCTGCTTTCTCTTCTCATGCCCCTTTAATTTTTTCCCTGTCTTTCTACTCCACTTCAATGTGACTTTCATACTATTCTGCAGTCTGTCAGTGTTTGAACATCTTACCATGAACACAACAGAATTAGTCTACAAAACTTGAAGTAACTACACACACTAGGAAAGTATATATAGTTTATTATTTGTACATCATCCTCCCTCCCACCACGTTATTATTCATCCAGGGGATCAGAGGAAAACCCATCCCAGAAGCCAGAGTTCAAGGTTCCCTCCATTTGCTCAACCAAGTGGTAAGGAGGTGTATCACTCATGTTGCCTGAGCAAAACCAACATAAACACACACACACACACACACACACACACACACACACACACACACACACACACACACTTTCTGATAACATTACTTCATTTTCCTTAAAGCAACCACCTCTCACTCTATCCTGTCTTCAGGCCTTATTTCTGGGGTTTCAGAATTATTATATGACACAGGCAGGGCCAATTAGCAGGTTCCGTTCGCCTGGAGATAGAGAAAAGACCACAGCTGGGTCATGGATGCTGCTTGGTTGGCGTTCTTGGAGGAAGAAGTCTCTTCCCTCTGGGTTATGGGCTAGGAAGATGTGATGGAGTGCTGGTGGCCCTTTCCACCACAAGGACAGAATGTAGCTGGTGCAAGAGGGCAGCCGAGCCGAGCAACGCGGGTGACCAAACTCAAACCTGATGACATCATTTTTGTCCTTGGATCCTGGTTCCCTAAAGGCAACTACTTCTGGGCTATCTAATCACAGGAGCCCATGTAATTTTTTCACCCTTTTACTCCTGTCACTTTAGATTGGATTTCCAGTCACTTGCAATCAAATGATCAATGACTGATACACAAATCTGAGACCAAATGAGACTTCAGCACCACCCCTCTTAAGTAGAGTTTCAAAGTAAGAATATAGCTTTTGCGCCTTTAATCCCAGCACTAGGGAGGCAGAGCCAGGCAGATCTCTGTGAGTTCGAGGTCAGCCTGGTCTACAGAGTGAGATCCACGACAGGCACCAAAGCTACACAGAGAAACCCTGTCTCAAAAAAAAAGAAAAGAAAAGAAGAAGAATATAGCTTATGGTGATCCTGCCTCTGGGGGGGGTGGGGGGTGGCCTGAGGATAAATTCCAAGCCCATAAGAGGTTTGCATGGGCCAAAGACACAGGGGTCACTTCAGGATCCGGATGCTCATCTTTTGTTCGATGTTCATCTTCTCTAAGGACTGGAGAGAGATGGGTGTGGTCAAGTCAAGATGCTTGAACCTCAACCCTGTGCATCTCACCTTCTCCCCTGGAGTCCTAGCATCCCCCAGGATGCCCCAGGTCTCTCCCAGCCTCCAGTGAACTTTATCTCCCATCCTCCTTCTGTCCTAGGGGCTCCTGATCTCCACTCCTCCTAACCTTAGTGAACTCCATGAAGGACACTGCCCCATCACCATCTTCATCGGCTTCCTGCACTGTGCGGTCTGTGATGCTCTCCAACTGCTCATCTGTCACCTGAACCCCAACCATCAGCCGGAGAACCTGGGAGGTGAGAGAAGAGGCAGCCACAGAGAAGAGCTTCAGAGACTGCTCCTCCAGCCCCAGCCCTTGCCCACCTCACACCCAAGTTATGACCAAACTTTTCTTACTCACTTTTCACTATCAAACTCAATTTCCCCTGTAGCCTCTAGAAAACACCCCCACACTGCTTCACTGTCTATAGTCTTCCATATGACTCCATCTCACGCTTGAACAACTAATGGGTCCCGAAACCTAAACTTTATAGCCCAATCAACATCCATGCTCCACTCCACCCCACCTCACCCTCCATCCTAACTTCATCATCTACCCCAGAGTCTTGGCACTATTGACATTTGGACCTAGGTAACTCCTTGGTGTGGAAGGCTGTCCTAGGTGTTTTGGTGTGTATAGCAGTATTCCTAGCCCATTCCCAATAAACATCAATTGTGTGATCTCTTCCCAATAGTGACAACCAAGTATCTCTAGGCATTGGCAAATGTTCATTCAAGAGGCCAAATTATCCCTGAGTTGAGAATAGGCACTCTATGCCCAATCTCATACCTACTTACTACCTACTCATTCTTCTAACTAACCACACCCAACCTCATCCATTCCCATGTCTAACCTAACACACAATCTCTGCAACCCCACTCATCACACACACACACACACACACACACACACACACACACACACACACCACTCCATTTAGCCATCCTGCCATGACCACATCTGATGCACCCTGTGATCTTTCTGACCTGTAGCATTTCATTCCTGGAGATCTTCCCATCCCGATCCAGATCATAGAGCTGAAATGCAACTGGGAAAGGAGTGGGGAAGAGGAAGGTGAGGCTCCCTGAATTAACATTAAGTCTTCATCAGGCTTACGAGGGGAGTGAGGAGTTCCTGGGCCTCTCCCTGGTGTGGGTAAATCTTGGGGGTCTCCCTTAAGCAAGTCTCACACACTCACAGCGAAGTTTGTTCATTCTGCTGTTTAGGGGTTCAGGTTGCTTGGGGTCTCGGATTGTTGCATCTTCTTCATCTACAGGTCGAAAATGAGCCAGGACCCTGGCAAAGCCTGCGAAATCCACTCTCTGGCTCCTATACGTGCAGGGATGGAGAAGGACAGTGGTCACCTAGATTGCCACCATCTGTAGCCTCCCTCCCACCCAGGTCCATCTCCCCTCCGCCGGCCGCCGGCCGAGATTCACCCGTTGGGGAAGAAGCTGTCTATAATGCGGTCCCCCAGAGGGTTCACAGCCAGCGCCCCGATCTGCTGGAGGTCTAGGCGGCTGTAAAGACAAAGCAATGAGGCAAAGAAGACAGATGGAGGTGTCAGAGAGCGGGATGGGGCCAGAAAAACAGAGGCGAAAGGTCCTTAGATCTGCTCTGCTCACCTCAAGAAGCCCTTTTCCTCCCTGTCCAGGGCTTGGAAGCGGTGGTAGAGGCGGAGCAGGCTGGCTTGCGAGACTGCGGGAGAGAAGGAGGTGGGGTGAGCCAGCAGAAGAAGACTCGCAGACTCTTATCGCCAGATCCTGTGTGCATTGGGGTGCACTGCAGACACCCCGGCTCGGGGGACATGGGCAGGGAACCAGGAGGGCTTATTCTCACCTGTAACCTCCCCTTCCACCTACCAACATAACAGGGTCTTCCACCTCCCCACCCTCAGCGAGGCTTCAACTATAAGGAAGAGGCAGACGGGTGGGGACCCAGGGAGGGAGAGTCTTTATCCCCCGCAGACCCAGGTGCCCTGTCGACCCGGCTAGAGGGAGCTTGACTCAAGAAAACACTATGTTAGAGACCCAAGAGGTTCCCAGATCCCAGGTTCCCTTCGAAGTCAGCACCCTGCATACGTCGTCTGCTCTGCCTTCAGCCTCCATCGGAGAGGATGCCTGAATGATTCTGATCCATCAACCCGGGCCGCCTCAAACTTGGCTCTCAAAGACCTTAAATCACAGCCATCCCGGATGCCAGGGTCTCAGTTTCCCAGCTCCAGTGGCGCGGATTCCCGGACTCAGACTCCAAGCCCTCTAAGTCTCTGCGATCTGGGAGAGTCAAGCTCCATTCTGGGAACCCCCTACACTACACTCAACCTCCTCCTGTGCCCTCCCACGGACTACTGGGCTGCCCCCACCCCCGCAGACTCACAGCCGGTCTCTCTGAGGATGTGGTCCACGTCGGGAATGAGCGCAACGTGGGAGCTACGCGAGCCCATAGCGGAGCCACCACCGGCGGAGGCTAGCAGCCAGGGGAACCAGGCGTCCTCTCCTCCCGTCCAGGAGGCGCGGCCGCCCAAGTGGCCTCAGGGCCGAAGGTCGCGGGCCTGGCGAGCAGCCAGAACCCAGGCGTTCCTCGCCTGCCACCTACGACCCTGGAGAACAGAAAACAATGCCCGGGGGTAGCAGGTCAGAGGGGAAAACTGAGAACAACCGGTCGTTTCAGCCCGGAGATTGAGGTCGCCAGGGGCTGAGAGACGCCAGGGCCCCGCCTTCCTCACGCCTGTGCCAGCCAGCTCTCTCCCAACCCTCCTTAGACACAAACCCACCTCCTCCTCGACGGGACCTCCCAGATTCTCTCAGCCAGCAGTGCTCAGTTCTTGTCCCGCTGGAGGGGATGAAGACATTCTTCTGGGGATCGGAAGAGGGGGCAGGGAGAGGGGACAGCTCCCTGGGCAGGAGGGGTGGTGATGGGGAAGTCCAGGCTCCACTAAGTGGGACAGCTTAGACATGAATCCTAACTACTCCCTCTTTATACAAGCCCATGTGTCTTGGGTCTATGGTGTTTTCATTTGTTTACATAGGGTTATTGTGTGGCTGAGCCAATCCTTAAGATCCATGTGACACCAGCACTCTGGAGGTTGAAGCAGGAAACAAGGCATGAGTGCATGGCCGCTCTGAACTATATGAGTTCTAAGCCAGCCTGGGCTTCATTGTTTGGCCTTGTCTTAAAACAAACAAATGTTTAAGATTTATCCCAAATCCAGATGTCCTGGTTTCTCTCAGAAATCAGAAGTTCTGGGGCTAGTTGTGTAGCTCAGTGGGACAACAATTGCATGACATACAAGCCCAAGGCCCCGGGTTTGACCTACTGCAGTGGGCTGGGGAAATTTCCGGAAGTTTGGGATCTCTAACTGGAGGCTATTTGCCACAATGCCCATGTGGCCCATGTTCTCTCCCAACATGCCCGGTGGGCTCCAATAGAAGGACAGGTGCATAACGACCTGGGCTTCTGACCAGGGCCCAGCACCAGCAAGCTGAAGACTGTGACTTGGCTTAAAGTACTAAAGATAGTAACAAGGCCCCTGGTTTATCAGGATGCCCCCAGGACTTAGCTGCGCACTTATGTGCCCTTGCTGGACTTCTCACTCCGATGTGTTTTGTGAACTACTGGAATACACTGCCCTGTTTTCTATAGCTCCAAGGGAACACCACAGCTAAGCCATTTATAAAGGAAAACTTTTAGAGCTGAAGAGTTGGCTCAGAGGTTTATAATACCTGCTCTTTCAGAAGACCTATGTTCAATTCCCAGCACCCACATGATGGTTCACAACCATCTGTAGCTTTAGTCACCAAGGACCCAATGCCTTCTACTGGCCTTGGGGGACCCAGGCATGCTTGTGGCACACAGACAGACATGCAGACTAAACACCCATACACATAAAAATAAATTAAAGAAGAAAAAAGGACAAAAATTGAGGTGTGGTGTGGCACACCTTTAATTCTAGAAGCAGGAGGCAGAGGCAGGTAGATCTCTGTGAGTTCAAAGCCAGCCTGTTCTATACATCAAGTTCCAAGCCAACCATGTACACACAGTGAGAACCTTCACAAAGACTAATTAATTAATAATTAATTAATTAATGTGAAGTGGTGCATACCTGCAGTGAATTCTGGGCTACCTGGGCAACAGAGTGAGCTCCTGACTCAAAAAATAAAATAAGAAAGAAAGAAGAAAAGACAAGACAAGGAGGCTGTTCAGCTCTGGCCTGGGAAGGTCAAGGTCAGGCAGCTTCGTCTGGAGTGTCCTTGACAGTGAGGTCTCTGCAGAGTCCTACGCAGTTCAGGGCATTGCATGACAAGACCAACAGAACACCCCAGCTCAGTGCTCCCCTGTTCTTCTCATAAAGCCACAGAACCAACCTAGAGTAGCGCAGCAGGCCTGTCATCCCAGCCACTCTCAGGAGGCTGAGGCAGGATCACAAGTTCAAGGTCTGCCTGTGCTACAGAGTGGGTTCAAGGCCAAGCTGGGCAACTTAAACACTGTTCTGAGATGTAAACATAGGTGGCTGGAGAGGTGGCTCCGTGGGTAAGAATACTTGCTGTGCAAGCATGAGGACCTGAGTTCAAATCTCCAACCTTCACAAAAAACTGCTGAGCATGGCCATAGGGGCATGTAATAACCATACACACACACACACACACACACACACACACACACACACACACACACACTTTATTTAACTTTCTTTTGTAAAATAAAAGCAGAGTGGAGGGTGGAGCTCTGGGCTAGGCTAGAAGTGTGCTTACCAGCGAGTGTGTGGCCTTAAGTTCAATCCTCATGCTGCAAAAAATAGGTGTCTAGTTCTGAAATGACCCTACCATCACCATATTTGTATATACGCACATTTTCACGGGGAGGGGTGCAGGAACTTCATTACAAGGGTTCAAGTTCATATCCATTCGAGAGAAACAGTCTATTAGTCTCCAAACTGAGACAGAGGCTTAACTCCAGAGAGACTTGAAAATATTGATCTAAAAAGTGGTTGCTTCTCCTTCAGACTAAACAGCTGACAGAAGAGATGCTTGATTCCCTTTCAGATGTCCCCGAAGGACTAAAGAATGTAGGAAGCCACCCTCCTCCCCCACAGAGCCAACAACTCTCCAGGCCAGCACTGGGAGTCAGCTAAACCCAGGAAGCAGTGAGTCCCTGAGCATGGGCAGAAGTCACCTCCAGCCAGGGTGAGAAGGGGCCTTCCAGCCTTGCTCTCTGAGTCAGCCCTGTACTCATGTAAGTCAATCTAGTGCAATGATCAGCCCACACCACAGCCATCTGCCAAGCAGGGAGCCCTGGGCCAGGAGACAGTCCTGCTTCATGCATACAAGTGGGGTTTATACCAATTCCACAACGCACATGCCAACTTTTGTTTGGTTATTTAGGGAATGCTTCTGCTGAAGAACCCATTAAACTCACTTCAGTGTGTGTGTGTGTGTGTGTGTGTGTGTGTGTGTGTGTGTGTGTGTGTGTGTGACTGCAGATGGAACCCAAATGCTGTACCACTGAGCTACATCCTCAGCTGATTTTTTTTTTTTTTACTTTAACCTCCATAAAAGTTGTTGACTTTGGCAGGTGAGACTGCTCAGCAGGTAAAGGCACTAACTGCCAAACCTGAAGACATTCATCTGATCACCAGGAGCCATGTGGTGGAAGGAGAAAACTGGCTCCTGGAAGTATTCCTCTGACATTTGCATGTATGCAGTGCCTGCACACACACACACACACACACACACACACACACACACACACACACACACAATTTTAATTTTTTTTAAGTTGCCTGCCATGTTTGATGATGTTCAAGTTAGAAAAACAAACATTCAAGAATACTCAGGGAAACATAAAACTCTTACCTATCAATAAACATGCTAACTAAAAAAATGGACAAATGGGCAGTGGTGGCCCATGTCTTTAATCCCAGCACTTGGGAGGCAGAGGCAGACAGATCTCGGTGAGTTTGAGGCCACCTCAGTCTACAAAGCAAGTTCCAGGACAGCCAAAGCTATAGAAAGAAAGAAAGAAAGAAAGAAAATTTCAATGCCAGGGGTGAGGTATCTCCCTATGAGATGCTGATCCTGAGGCTCCTAAAATATAAAATACAAACTGGGCAGGGGTGGTGGCGCACGCCTTTAATCCCAGCACTTGGGAGGCAGAGCCAGGCGGATCTCTGTGAGTTCGAGGCCAGCCTGGGCTACCAAGTGAGTCCCAGGAAAGGCGCAAAGCTACACAGAGAAACCCTATCTCGAAAAAAAAAATCCAAAATAATAATAACAATAATAATAATAAATGGTTAATAATAGTAGCGAAATGGACAGAGACTGGAAGGCCCCTTTCTCACCCTGGCTGGAGGTGACTTCTGCACATGCTCAGGGACTCACTGCTTCCTGGGTTTAGCTGACTCCCAGTGCTGGCCTGGAGAGTTGTTGGCTCTGTGGGGGAGGAGGGTGGCTTCCTACATTCTTTAGTCCTTCGGGGACATCTGAAAGGGAATCAGGCATCTCTTCTGTCAGCTGTTTAGTCTGAAGGAGAAGCAACCACTTTTTAGATCAATATTTTCAAGTCTCTTTGGAATGGAAATTTCTTCAAAGAACATGTATAAATGTCCAGATAAATGCAGAAAAGGATTCTCAACATCACTGGCCATCAGAAGATTAAGAATCAAACCACTTCACACTAACTGGAATGACTAGAATTAAGACCAACAAAACCAAAAGTAACTTGCACGTCTCAGTGAGGAGATGGAGAAATCAGACCCTATGCATTGCTCGTAGAAGGAAAAATGGTGCAGTCGTCTCGGACAACAAGTTTGAGATTTTTCAGTGAGTAAAAACTATCATGTGATAAATAATCCTCTCCTAGGTATACACCCAAAAGAACTGAAGAATGGGAGTTCACTAGTCAGCAGGCACAAGAGCAAACAGAACTGCCATGTGGCCCAGCTCTGGGCCTCCTGAGTATTTTTGCCTGGAGGATTCTGGAATTGGTTCATCTCCAAGATGCTTACGCATCCATATTTATTGGTGCACTCTTCACAAAAGCCAATAAGGGAGCCAGCTTAGGTGTCCATCAACACACAAGGATGAAGAAAAGGTAGTGTATTTGTGTACAATGGAATTTTATTCAGCCGTAAGAAAAATGTTATCACAACATTTGCAGAAAAGTGGGTGGAATTGGAAATCATTATGTTCAATAAGATAGACCAAGCTCAGACAGACAAATACTGCATGTTTACTACATGTGTTATTTATTTACCTAGTGTGGGGATTTTGTGTGTGCACATGCCATTGCATGTTTTTGAAGGTCGGAGGATGACTTGGAGGAAGCCATAAGGAATGGCTTAGTAAGCAGTGTTCCTCCATGGTCTCTGCTTCCACAGAGCCTTAACAGTTCTGCCACCTCCCATCAGCACCACGGGTAGGGGACAAAGTCTTTAACCCATGTGTTCCAAACAGCATTAGACCAAGCTGGCCTAAAACTCACAGAGATCCACCCGCCTCTGTCTCTGAGTACTGGGATTAAAGTCATGTGCCACCCAGCTTAAATTTATTTTTATTTATGTGCATGTATGTGTGGCACATGTGTGCCAGTGCCTACGAGAGGTCATAAGAAGATATTAGATTCCCTGGAACTGGAGTTAGAGGCAGTTGAAACCCACCCAATGGGAGTGCAGGGTCTCACTATATATTATATATATATATAGCCCAGCTGTCCTGAAACTTGCTATGTAGACCAGGCTGGCCTGGAACTCACAGAGATCCGCCTATGTCTGCCTCCTGAGTGCCATGATTGAAGGCATGAGCCACTGAAATGAAAGGAGGCTCTTGTATAAAGACACATGTTATAGTGGCCACCAAAGGTCGTCTGATGGAGCCTTAGTGCCACTGAGAGGACACAGGGCCTTTAGAAGGTGGGGCCTAGGGATAGTAAATACTACACCCTCCTAGGTGTGCCCTGGGAGGGGTATTGAGAGGCCAAGCCTGACTGTCTTTCAGTTCTCCACCACAAGGAGGTGAACAGTTTTGATCTGCCACATGTTCCCAACCCTGTGGTAACGCCTTGCCACAAACCCACGGACTGAGACCTCAGAGACCATGAGCCAACATGGACTTTTCCTGCTTTAACGTGATCCTTCTCAGCTGTTTTGTCACAGTGATGGAAGTTTAATGCCAATCACAGACACAGATGGTTTGAACAGCTAATGACTTCACAAGGGCCCGACCTCTGGCTAACATTCACACCAGGGATTAGAGTAAGCGGAGTTTTTCATCAGGACTGCCAGCTCCCAAAAAAAACACATGGAGACTTATTCATTATGAAAGCTCGGACAATAGCTTAGGCTTGCTTTTAGCTAGCTCTCATAACTTAAATTAACCCATTTCTATTCATCTGTATGCTGACTCAGGGCTTGTTTACCAAATCTAGGTACTTTCCATATTGCTTCTTCCAAGTCTGGCTGGCTACCCCTCTGCCTCTCCCCGCTTCTTCTTCCCAGCATTCTCTCTGCCCCCAAAATCCTACCTAGCTATTGGATGTTTAGCTTTTTTATTAAACCTATCACAGTGACATATATTCACATAATGTAAAGGAATAGTCCACAGATTAGGTTTTAGATTTTTGAGGGGACGCAAACATTTAGAGCATGGTGAATGCATATTCACATACAGAAAGCCTATAAGCCATCCACATTGGGCTTATCACCTAACATTTCTACACCCCTCTCTCTGCCTTGTCCCCTAACCTCCCCAGCACACCTTAATATCACAACCCAATGGCTCTTGGAAACCAATGAATCATAACCATGGCTCCCAGTTAGGAAATTTCTGGTTTTCGGTGTCAGGAACCATCCTGAACCTATATTAAGAAGAAAAGAGCCAGTTCACTGAAGCCTGAGGGAAGTCCAAGGGAACATGCTTTAGATGCAGCTCCACCCGGCATTCCAGCCACGTCACTGGATGCTGCCACTTTCTCCTTGATGATCCTCACTGTCAGGTGGGCTCCACATGAAACTGCTCCTCAACTCATCAAGTAGGAATTCCCTTGGTCTCCGAGTCTCCTAGTCCCCCTTTGTGTTGTTATAACAGGCTAGCACCAGCTGGGTAATCTATAAACATTAGAAATGCATTCAACTTGCAGTTCTAAAGATGGGGATGCCCGGAGTGTGGCACTGGCCTGCGGTCAGGGCCCTCTTGCTCTCTTGCTGTGTCATCCCATGGCAGAAGGACAAGTGACAAGTTGGGGGTGGGGGTGAGGGTAATATGTGAATAAGAGGGAGAAGAGAGAGAGAGAGAGAGAGAGAGAGAGAGAGAGAGAGAGAGAGAGAGAGAGAGAGAGAACTCTGCTTTTATAACAAGTACACTCTCAGACTCCCAACAGCAGCTAACCCATTCATGAGAACAGAACCCTTATAAGGTAAATCATCCCTCTTTAGGCCCCACCCCAACACTGTTGCCCTGGAAATTAAACGCCCAACTCATAAGCTCGAGAGAACATTCAAATCTCAGTTCCTGACATCCAAATACACCCTGAAAAAGAACCCCCCACCGGCTTCTGCAGGAGTCACTGAGGTGGAGCTGCGGCCTCACTCACCTTGCAGTGGAGGTGACATGGACCTCGCGGCCCACAGGCCACCACGACAGGGAGAGGCAGTTCCTGAAAGCAACATTTTTTAGCCTAAGAGGAAAGGATGCTGAGCAGACTAAACAACAGATGTCAGCAGAGTGACCCAGTAATAACACAATGTTTACACTCACTGCTCCCTAGTTTCCAAGGAGAGGAACACGAGACCGGGCAGGAACTGTGAATTGGGTTGTGCAAGAAACAAGAGGCCCAATTTGCCTCAAAGATGCCTCTTGCCCTGCCTTTACCATCCACCAGGTCACACTGTGTTTAGAGCCCCAGTAAGCTGCAGGGAGGGTTAGAGGGGGGTTAGGGAACTGTGAAAGATTGTTAAAGGAATGTAATAGGAGCTGGGGAGAGGGCTCAGTGATGAAGGGTGCTTGCTAAGCAACTAAAAGGACCTGTTTAGATGCCAGCACTCACGTAACTAGTCAGGCATGATCTCCCACGCACCTGTAACCTTTGCAGCGTTTTGGGGCCAGGGGGTGGGATGAGAAAGGAAGATTGCTGATACCTTCCTCTGGCTTCTGCACACACACATGCACACACCACCACCACCACCACCACCACCACCACACACACACACACACACACACACACACCCCACAATAAAGAACATAGTACAGGCAGGCATAATGGCACATACCTGCAATGCTAGCTCTCAGAGAGACTGAGGCAGGAAGGCCCCCAAGTTCAAGGCCAGTTTGGGTAACATAGCAAGACACTATCTGAAGTGTATGTGTGTGGTGGGAGAGTGACACACGTTTGTGGTTTAAAGTAGTGCGAACAATAAAAGGTCTGTAGTAAAAAGTGCCCCTCAATCCTATTTTCAAATCGTCATTCCAAGAGCAGCCACTTTACACCCCCGCCCCTTGTGGCTCTCACGGAATTGCTCATGAAAACTGAAGAACATAACAGGGCTACCTTCATAGCAAAATGGGTCCTTTCTAGAAGCTCCTCCCAACAGACTTCCTTCGAGAGCACCTTTGCGGAGACTGCCGATGCTTCTTGGCCTCTTGGCTAAGATCAAGGGCGGAGGTTGCCTCACACACCCATGCACAAAACCATCAAGAGCGGAGAAATGCACGGCGTGAGAGTCTCCTGGTACTTACCAGCTGTGAGATGCTGGGGAGAAGGCTGATGGGGAAAGTGCATGATGCACAAATATGAGGACCTGAGCTTTGATTCCCCAGCACCTGCGTAAGTCACACGTGGCAGCCCACATCTGTAATCCCAGCACAAGGGAGGTAGAGACAAGCAGATCCCTGGAGCTCGCGGCCAGCCAGCCTAGCTGAAACGGTAAGCCCCAAGCTTAGGGAGAAATCCTGCACCCCCCCCCCTCCCGAAAAAAAATAAGGTGAAGAAGCAATTGAGAAAGACAGTCTCTGGCCTCGCACATGCATCCTCATACCTACATGCATATAAACACAAGCAATACACACACATACATATATACATACATATATGCACCCCTATGGAATAAAAATTTAAAAATACTAGATGCGAGGTGCTCGATTGAAAGGGGTCCAGAGACAGTGACAATTGAGAGAAAGTCTAAAATCCAACATAGGGTCACCTTCTATAGTTAAAGAAGAAAGGGCAGGGAAAGAAAATGAAGGGGAAAGAAAGCAAAATGGGGAGAGAGAGGAGAAGGACTGGGGCGGGGAGGGGGGGTGTAAGCAGCAATTATATACTGTCCTCTGGTGGATTCGAATAGCAGTGCCCCAACTAGGTTCTCACAACGATTTGTTTGAGAGCCAAGCATTGAGCAGGCATCTCTGGACAGTGAGATTAGAGAAGAGAGCAGACACAAATGAGCCTAGAGTCGTGAGCAAGAGCCGGACATTAAATCTGTTCGTCCATTCATTCATCCAACAAAGAGTTACTGACCACCTACCAGATACTGTGTTAGAAGTTGGGAATGCAGCTATTAACAAATACACAGCAGTCTCCCCTTTATGATGCTTATAGTCTGAAGGGGGTACACAGATCTCTCTCTCTCTCTCTCACACACACACACACACACACACACACACACACACACACACACACACAATTATACAGAAGGCTAGATTGTGATAGCAGATATGAAGGAGAGAAAAATAATGCAAATAGAAAGGTTGGGGAAGATGTGCAGTGTTAACAGAGAAGTTAGGACAGGCTTCAACTAGGTAATATATGAGCAAAGACTCAGATGTGAGGAATCTAGATATGCAATTTTCCAAAAGCATTTCAGGCAGAAAAAAAAAAAACACTTGGTGTACAATGGTCCTGAGGCACATGTGCAAAATCCTCCATAGGCTGTCTAAATGGAGACACTGGAAGGAATGGATGAAGAAGGGCCTGGAGTGAGATGAGATCAGAGAGCCCCCAAGAGGAAATGAGCTAGTAAGCCCCTCTGAGGGCTTTCACTTCTACTCAGAGTGAAACGGGAAGTCACGGATGGTTTGAGGAAAAAAGAGAAATGAAATATACTAGTAATCATTTTGTGGAGGGAATTCATCTTCTACAGTCTCCTTAACAAATCTTCACAGATTTGGGGGTTGCCTCAGAGATGGCTCAAAGAGCACATGTTGCTCTTGCAGAGGCCTGGAGATTGGTTCCAAGAGCCCACCCATATCAGGTGGCTCACATCCGCTTTGAACTCCAGTCACATGCAGGGGATCAATGCCTCATCTGACATCCACAGGCACCTGCACACATAAGCATGCAAACTCACATAGGCATGCAAACATATACATAAATCAAAACAAAGTCCTTTGTAAAAAGACAGTCACTACAGAGTTGGTGGCTGTTCTTCACAGTACAAATTTATCACCTTGTAATTGGGGCTCACTGGGCTGGAGTCAAGGAGCTAGCAAGCCTGAATCCCTTCTGGATCCAGAGGAGAACCTGCTTCCACGTTGCCTTCACTTTCTAGAGGTTGCCCACATTCCTTGGCCTGTCGCCCTTCTTCCACCTTCAAAGCCAGCACCTTCATTGCTCCAGCCCATTCCTCCGTCCTCCCATGTCCAGCTATAATGGACCTGCCTCGCTCCACAAGGATCCACAGGTTCCGTTGGACTCACAGAGAGAATGCTAATCTCCAGGTCCTAAAAACCTAACCCCCTTGACATCTGCAGTATTATCCCTTTGGCCATGTAAAGTGCCCTATCTTCAGGTTTCTGGGACTAGAACACCTTTGGGGGAGCATGTCTCATCTATTACATAGTTACAACATAAATGAGAAGATAATGCTAGGAGAGAATGAATGTGGGAGATCTCACCTGCCAGGGGATGAGAGCGTGTCTAGGGAAGGGGAAGACAGAGGGGAGCGGTGCAGGAATGTGTCCCCAAGCCAAGTACTGTGGCACATATCTGAAGGCAGGAGGCAGGACCGTGACATTGAGGCCAGTCTGAGCCACACAAAGAGCTCCTGTCTCAAACACTGGAAAATAAAAAAACAGTCCAATTGTGGTGGTGCATGCCTTTAATCCCAGCACTCAGGAGGTAGAGGCAGGTGGATCTCTGTGAGTTGGAGGCCAGCCTGGTCTACAAAGAGAGTTCTAGGGCAGGCAAGGCTACACAGAGAAATCCTGTCTCTAAAAGCCAAAACAAACAAACAAAAAAGAAGAAACTGAAAAACCAGAACTGCATCCCCAAGAAAGGGATCATCCCTCTCCAAGCCAAGTCACCTTCAATGACCTAGGTGACGGCCAGCTGGGTCCTGGTGCCTTTGGACTCTCCCTGTCCCTCTCAACCCACACCCATCTACTCTAGGACAAAGGGAGCATGGCCAGCCTTAGCCATCTGAGAGCCAGACTGGGGGCCTTGAGCACAGCTCCTCCTGCAGATACAGATGAGGAGTACCGAGTGTGCCGACCCTGTCTGCTGCAAGGAGGCTTGCCTCCCGCAGGTGCCTATCACCATCCTTCCACAGTTGGCCCCAAGGTTACAGATGTTCTTATTATGCCATAGAATTGATTTCTGTATGTGACCCACAGACCCCGAGACTGGGTGGGAAGCTTGATCCAAGCCACAGAGCCTCCAGAGAAGCTAGTACCAAGTCACGGTAAAATCACTCAAGGGGCACTTGACCAATCACAGTACTCATTAATAAGTATCCTGTACCCAGATAGTAGGTTTCTTCGCTGATGCAGAAAGCCAGATCAGCTTAATTAAAAAGTAAAAGACCAGGTTTATTTGGGCAAAGCACTCTTGGGTGAATCCTCCAACCCCCAGAAATAAGGCGGGAGAAGGGTGCAGGAGAAAAATCACATGGCCGTTCTAAAGGAGGGAGCTTAAATACCCTCTAGGCACAGGATGAACATTTGTCCTCCACAAGCTGGGTTTGTACCCAATTATAATGCTTTGGGCAGGGACTGGGGAGCTGGTAGCTCCAGGGGAGGAGCCATCACCACTTTCTGAGAGGGCAGGGTTTGGAGAGAAACAAGTGGGGTGGAGCTGAAGATTCCAGCCAAACACTCACTCATCCTAGAGTAAAATTTTAGGATGACCTTTCTCCAGTTCTCTCAATCCTGATAAAAGTACTAGCCTGCATTAGGAGACTAGGCAGCCTAGCCACATGCCTTGAGATTAGAGTAACTATATAATTTTCATGGGTGGGCATTTGCTCTATCTGTAGGGGGTAAGGGGCTCACCCAGGAATCCATTCAAGAAAAACCAAACTCTATCTCTAACATAAATCTAATGTCAGTTATTTCAAAATGTGTATGAGTGTGTGCTTCTACAAATAAACTTGATTTTTCTTTTCCACAAGCACACCTATAATCCCAGCATTAAGAAGGCTGAGGCAGTCGGGCAGCGGTGGCACTTGCCTTTAATCCCAGCACTCGGAGGAAGAGCCAGGCGGATCTCTGTGAGTTCGAGGCCAGCCTGGTCTGCAGAGCAAGATCCAGGACAGGCACCAAAACTACACAGAGAAACCCTGTCTCGAAATCAAAAAAAAAAAAGAAGAAGAAGAAGAAGGCTGAGGCAGGAGGATCACAAGTTTGAAGCTAGCCTGAACTATATAATGAGAATCTGACAAAAAGAAAGGGGAGAAGACGGAAAGGGAGGGGAACAGAAAGAAAAGGAGGAAAAGGAAGGACG